GTGTCGCCGTCGATATAGTAGGGAAGGTTAGGGAAGTCCAGACCCAGCGATGGCTTATCCACTGACTTCCAGGCGTCGACGTCTGTAAACACATACCGTTTGTCCGCGAAGTCTACGGCCGAGTAGTGCAACAAATACCGTATGGGTTCGGCCAGACCTCTCAGATCCCAATAACCGAGCACTGGTTTGCCAGACATTATGGTAAATAAATTTTAAACTGAATTAAATTAATTACTGTAAAAATAAACTAATATTTTATATAAGGATTGTATAACAGGACTGATCAACACGTTTGATAAAAGTGATAGCTCTATGAAATGCAACACTTGCTTATATACCCGTATGTGTAGTGTTTGGTGCATTTTAGTGCAAACTTTACATGATATTGTATTGTGCAAAAACATCCTATTGCATTTACTATGGCATTCACAGTTCATTTTTAATCAACGCCACTTAAATACCGGTTTATTAGCGCCAAAGTTTGTTTTAAGTGTTTGTGCACTAAAATCGTACTTATCATAGAGTAATCATGGCTAATACAATGATGGTAAACATAATCACCACTATGAAGTAAAGTTATTTTTACGTATTTTGCGCAAAGCACTGATGATTACATAGTTAGTGAGATAGCTAGAAATACCTGAGACCGACCTTGATCAACGAGTCTATCCCAATGCCTTCAGAGCTACCTGTAGTTGTTTTTTACTTTCACACTTTCATCCATGCTGCTTTGTTACTATGGGTTAGCAATTTTAGTTTATTGTAGTTATTTTGTTTTAACATGGTTTACATTGAATGATTTATTAACCACTCTTAATTTAAATTAATATAAATTATTATCTTAAACAGTAAAACATTTTTTATTCATAATTCATAACATGATAGACAATTACATTAATGTAAAAACAAATCAATACACAATTAAATTAAACAAAACACTTAAACAAAATTACAAATAAACAATATACAATTACCCTGGTTCAAATAATGAAATACCCGTGTATCAATAAATTAAATCATAAATAATAATGATAGAAAAAATTATTACCACGAAAAATGATTTTTATAAATATCATAATTATAACTAAAACTAAAATACAATTAATTCAAGTACAAAAAACACACAAAAAGTGCATTACATTTATTGTGAGCCCCATTTGACAATCGGACCAAACAGTGGCCACTGTTTGTAATCACCGGAGCTCTGGTAGGATTTAATGGCCGGTAGGGCTTCAAAGCGATCCAAATACTGGCCAACAGTCGGGAACTTACCGATAGTGTCGGGTGTGAATCGTTTCAACCAATCCAGTGTCTCATACGCCAGAAAGTCTACATAAGACAATTGTCCACCGGTTAGCCAATCATTGGCGCCCAAGTACTTCACCAACAGATCCAACTGCGGCTCAAGAGTACCGGTGCTATAGTCGGCCCGTTTGGCCTCCCAATCGTCGGCCATAATCACCATAAACAGCGCCAGTCGTATGTCTTCCAGTTGTTGCTCGACCACCTCCTGGCGGGCCCGCCCGGCCTCGTCCTGAGCCACCAGTCCGTGCTTACGACCCAAATGGCGCAAAATGGCCAGACTTTGGCTCAGTTTTAGGTCGCCATCGATATAGTAGGGAAGGTTAGGAAAGGGCAGTCCCAGCGACGACTTGTCCGACTCCCAGGCCGGCCGGTCGGCGAACGTATAGCGTTTGTCCGTGAAGTCAATGTTGGCGTACCGGAGCAGATAGCGTATGGGTTCGGCCAGACCTCGGATTTCCCAGTAGCCCAGTGTCGGTGCAGTCATTGTGTTGGTGGTAGTGGTACAGGTTTAGTAGTACAATGATCTAGGTATGAATTTTTATTACAAACACACAAAATAGTAGATATTTTAACTCAAAAACGTGGTGTTTTATGTGAACAAAAGGATCTGATAACTAGTCTCTGACAGGTATGGGAAAATGCAACTATGGCTGAGACATAGGTAGACACACGTGTGTTTCCTACCGGTGTCTACCTTACCCTATCAGTGCCCCTCCCATCCCACTATCACTGCCAGACATGGCTAATGCTAATGTCAGACAGAAATAGTTTTTTAAATCATGTTGATTGTTTTAGAAACCAGTTTTTTCCATCGCATTCATTACTACCAATAGGCTGTAGTTGTGCTGCGCTTAACATTCAATAGTTGCGAGGTTTTTGTCATTTAAATGAATGTGTTTTTAATGCATTTTTGGTCGCAAAACTAGTTGTTAGTTATATTTTCAAGTTTTTTATGGGAAACTATTTTCCAGTTAATAGTGAGTGAAAGTTAATGAGTGAGTGAGTGAGTGAGTGAGTGAGTGAGTGAGAGAGAGAGAGAGAGAGAGAAAGAGAGAGAGAGAATGTGATCAAATTTATTTGCAATCAAAAAGTATTGCTTTAATAAAAGTTACTTAATTTAGCAAGGATGATTTAGGAAATATATAATTTATATTATATAATTTATTAACAAAATTATCTTCTTGATTTTATGCTGACCCAAATGTAATTATTTATATTTGTAAATTTATAATCATTATATTTATCTCAAATATTGTAGTAAATTTTGAAACATTTTTACTACTTAAAGAGTAAAGAGTTAATTAAAGACTGTAATTATTAAAACATATCTAATTATGTGGTGCTGAAATGTTAACATAGTTTATTTATTTATGGATTATTAGTATTCAAAATTTAAAAAAACACCCCACCTGAAAGTAATGTAAACTTTACTTTAATTACAACTGTATTCAACACAAATTACTGTTTTTTAATAATCATTATTAGCATCTAGTAGTAATTTAAACTTTATTTTATTTTAATTAGTTTTATTAATGAACAAATTAAATTAACAATTATTTTAAACCAACCCGCAAAACTTTACCAAACAATTTAATATAGATAAACAAATTGAAAACATTGAATAATAACCAATCATAGATTTACCACGAACAATCTACGCATATCTAACCCTGCATCGCACTGCTCATAGCCTGCATATCTGCTTTCAATTTGTCGACCATGGCCAGGGCCTTTTTGCACCCATCAGGCAAACTTGTTTTACCCGACTGCACATCTTTGGCCAATTTCTCTTTATTGGTCTTAAAATCGGACAGATCCTTTTGTACCTTGGCGAATGCAGCTTGGGCGTTTGCGGGCACGTGGCCCTTTGCCATGTCCAGCATACCCTTGGCTTTACCAATCTGATCGGTCAGTTGACCCGCTTTAGCAGCGAACGCCTCTTTAGATTTACAGTCAGCATCGGTGTAAACACCTGATTAAATATGGTTAAATTATTTGTTGAGTTTTAGCTTTATACATTAATAATTTAACATAGAAACTTTTATATTTTTATTTTGTTAATGTTATAACTTATAACTATGATAATTAATTATACATACAGACAACCGCCGCTATGACCATACATGTCACACATAAACCAACTATTAGTTTCATTATGGTGTCGGATGTAATTACTTTGAATAGTTGATTTATAATTAATGTACTTTTGCAAAATTATACTCTTAATTATACTTTTAGTTGTTATTTTTTGTGGTTTAAATAGTGTACATTAATTGTTATTTTAAATGTAGCTAATTAACTTATAGATTGATTTATTAGTTCAGGTTTAGTATTGTTTTTTTTTTGAAAAATCTATTTCACAACTAGTATAATATTGTTTACAATGAATTGATAATTTACGTGATTGCATGATGATTATATCCCAAGTTTGTATCACCTGTGTCCACCAGTATTAGAACTAAATAATACTGTTATTTTTTACTGCCTTTATTAATTACAGGTAATTAATACATAGATATAATTATAAATTTATTTCACCACATTTATTGTTACAAATTGAAATATTATTTTAATATTTTAAATTATATAACCATATTGATTCTTATCTAACCCTTCATCGCACCGCTGAGGGACTCCATATCTTTTTGCAATTTTTCCACCATGGCTAGTGCCTTTTTGCACCCATCAGGCACACTCGTTTTACCCGACTGGACCTCTTTGACCAATTTCTCTTTACTGGTCTTAAAATCAGACATATCCTTTTGTACCTTGGCGATTTGACCTTGGGAGCCTGCAGGCTCGTGGCCCTTTACCATGTCCAGCATACCCTTGGCCTTATCGATCGACTCGTTCAGTTGGCCCGCTTTGGCAGCGAACGCCTCCTTAGTCTTACAGTCAGCCTCTGTGTAAACACCTGATTAAACATGGTTAAAATTATTTAATAAGTTAAATAATAGTTTGATAAATTAATAAATTAACTTATATATTTTTATTTTGCTAATGTTATAATTAAGGTAATTAATTATACATACAGACCACCGCCGTTATGACCATAGATGCCACACATAAGCCAACTATTAGTTTCATTATTGTGTTGGTAGTAATTAGTTTGAGTAATTTATTTATAATTTGAGTAAATTAATGTAATTTTGCAAAATTTTACTGGTAATTATAATTTTAATTTTTATTTTTTGTTATTTAAATAGTGGTTTATTTAATTATTTAAATTTAACAATAATTTAAATTAATTGTTATTTCATATGTAGCTAAAGCTAAAGTTTAAATTACCTTATAGTTGATTTATTAGTTCAGGTTTGGTATTGTTTATTGAAAAATTTATTACACAAGTATTAGAATATTGTTTACCATGAATTGATAATTTACTTGATTGCATTATGATTATACGCCAAGTTTGTATCACCTGTGTCCACCAGTATTAGTACTAGATAATACTGTTATTTTTACTGCCTTTATAAATTACAGATATTTAATACATAGAGATAATTACAAAATTTATTTCATCACATTTATTGGTACAAATTGAAATATTTTAATATTTTAAATTATAAAATCACCCTAAAAGATTCTTATCTAACCCTTCGTCACTGAGGGCTTAGGGCTGAGAGCATCCAGATCCTTTTGCAATTTGTCGTACATGGCCATTGCTTTTTTGCACGCATCAGGCAAACTTGTTTTACCCGACTGGACCTCTTTGACCAACTTTTCTTTACTGGTTGTAAAATCGGAATACTCCTTTTGTATCTTGGTGAGTATACCTCGGCCGCCTGCGGGTACGGCGCCCTTCATCATGTCCAGCATGGCCTTGGATTTAGCGATTACCTCGGTCAGTTGGCCCGCTTTGGCAACAAACGCCTCCTTAGATTTGCAGTCAGCCTCCGTGTAAAACTCGGCAACACCTGATTAAACATGTTTAAATTATTTGTTGAGTACTAGCTGTTTGTTATAGTTGCTTAGTTTTTAAATAATAGCTTTATAAATTAATAAATTAGCGTAGGAACTTTTATATTTTTACTAGCCATTATTAATTAAATGTTTTAGCCCTGGAACTCTCTCTCTCTCTCTCTCTCTCTCTCTCTCTCTCTC